ATCTTACAACTCATTGAAATTGATAAAAAATCTAGAAACTCTATAATTTGGAAATAACAATATTACTTCGAAAGTTAGTAAGCATAAAACAAACGAAAATAATACGTCCAGTCAACTGGAGCTGATTTATTTCAAACATGCCCTTTAATATTTTATATGTCTTGCCCAGTCCTATCACTCGTTCTATATGAATTCTTTTTGATGAAATTTTTTTGGAACGTACTAGCTGTTCTGGCTCAAATTGACCTGCATTGTGCTTTAGAAATTCTGGCATATTAGCGGTCACATTCTTATGTGCAACAGTATCTTGTATATTGAAGCCTCTATCGGACATTATGTTGTCTTGGTCTTTAAGAAGGTCTATCAAACCACATCGTTCAAACAACTCTCGATCACTTGTTGATCCTCCATATGCGTCAGATACAAAAGTAACCGTTCCAGTAGGAGAAATACCAACTAAAACTTTTACTGTATTGGAAGATTTGTACGTGGAATATGTTTGTTGTTGAGCTAGAGGATTTTTGGGATGTACAAGTTTTACTTCTATGCAATCAATGATAATTACAGAAGTCTCACAATCTCGTCCTCTAATTTTTAAATTTTCGTTAATAGTTTTCCCAGGAGTCCACATATTTAATTCTTTGAATTGGCAGTATAAAAAATTTATCCAAGTAATAAAAATATTACTAACAGTAGATGCGCTGATATTAAATCTAAAGTGAATTTCTCTGTTGCACATATTTCGCCTGATTTTTACCATAGTTAAAAAAAACTCATTCTGTAGAGACAAGATCCTGGGTTTAGTACACTCTTTAAAATCCGGATAATATTTCAGTCGATTTACTTGGGAGCCAAATAAGTTAAAGATAAACATAAAATGTTCATAGCTATCAGAGCCAGTATAAAACTGTAGTTCATCTGGTCTATTTATTAGGTATTCTATCTTAAACTCAGCTTGTATAAACTTGTTAGCGTCAACTAGATGAGGTATTTTACAATTCCCTTTCGATTTTCTTTGGTTCTTTTTTGAGTTTTGGCTGGAATCGAGGTTCTCCTTGTCCTTATCATTGCCAATCAGAACACATTGCACACTAGAATCTCGCAATTTGTTGAAAGAAGGAGTTTTTGATTCACCAAAATGATTTATTTTTCCGCCTGTGTCTAAAGAAGCGTTGGTTTCATCGGTTCCTTGTGCAACACTCACTTCTGATTGTTGTACAGCAAACTCTTTTCTTTTCTTAACCAAGATATTAGGGCGACAATATGAGCTAGACGGTTTGGTGTCTTTAGCGGTCTAGTCGAAAATACTCGGAACAGATTCCGCTTTTAGCCTTAGTTTAGCTAAAATCATTGAAAATTTATTAGCACAATGTTGAACATAGTTGGCAGTGGCGTAGCTAGGCGGCCAAGACCAAGACCAAGACTAAGACTGGCCAGTCTTGGTCTTGATGTTTCAAGACTGGCTCAGTCTTGGTATGGTCTTGATAGTCTTGAAAAAAATGTAACCAAATTTTTAGAATATACATAACATATAACGAGAGAGCAGCGATAATGGGTTATTTAGGACTTCAGAAATAGGAAATAAAACTCCCTTTCTGAAAAAATTATGCCGACGTTTCGACCATGCATTTGGTCTTGTTCACAGGCTATTTTTACCAGCAAGAGCGTTTCTTGTCAAAAAATACCGCCTAAAGCATTCCACAACACAGAGGAACAAACAAAGAGTCTCGAGAGAGAGAGTCTTGGTCTTGGTCTTGCTATCAAGACAAGATCAAGACTAGTCTTTTGGTCTCGCGAAACCCTAGTTTTTGTCGCAAGAAATATGGACCCCTTCATAAAAAGGGCTTCGCAATTCGGATGTCGCCGACGTCCACGTCTGGTTTGGCGTATGTGTTTGGCTACGCCACTGATAGTTGGCGGTACGCGTGTATATTTACGATTTGCAGAGAAAGACTCCTTTGGAAGTGCATAATCTTCTTTCCGGAAATGCTTCTTGCATATTCTACTAGAAGGTGATACATACATGTCGATCTATTCGTGTGGCAATAATCCATTTGTGAAAAAGAATGGTTTTTTTTACAGGAAATCTGTGTACTGCGTTTACAGAATTGCATAAAGGTACACAACAATTCACCATTTCTTCATTAAAGCAGAAACAGAAACTACCAGAAAACGTCAAAGTAAACTTCTGACGTTAAATTACATTCGGTTATTCACGCGCCAAAATTTAAAAAGATCCAAGTACAGAAGCGCCCTCTACAACTCAACTGTCAATATTACATGCCATTACTTCCAAATCAAAGCCAACAATTTTATCGAGAAAATATATGGGATAAATTGCTTTTGAATGTTTCCATTAAAACAGTAAGCTTCATCTTAACCAAATTATCAAGCTTTTAGGAATTTTATTTATATTCGAATTCTATTTCTTTCGGAGGCGAAACTAATTAATTTCGAGTTAAAATAATTTATCCACGTCAACATCGCGCTTGGACTGGGATTTCTCGTCAGGCACGTCAGTTCCAGGGCTGGAAGAGATGGATAATATTAATGATTAGATATTATACAGGAGATTGATTTTTTAATGGACCAAATTGCAAATGAACCATATTGTGGTGAATAGAATTTTTGAAAAGATTGAGAGAGTTGTGAGAAGTATCTGGAACGTCGTAAATCGAAGAATAGTGAGTGTTTCGACTTCACTCAAGGATTTTTTTTTTTTTTTTTTTTCATTTGGTCGATACAGTGGCAAAGTCGAAACTGACAGACTGTTAGCAACGCCATCCTCGACGAAGTTTGGAAAAAAAGAGGAACCGGGACGAAGACAAAGGCAGCACGGAGAGAGACTCGAAAGTGCAAGTAAGCTCGTTTTCAGTTACTATGCGTAATAATTCAGCATCCCCCAGCCGTTCTTCAATTTTCATACCCTGAGTGGGCTTTATTTCAATTAAGTTTGTTGTTAAGTTCACACCAGCCCTTTTTTTCTCATTCCTAAACCAAGAGTCCACTTATTTAGCACATTCCAGATCAAGTTAAAGGCAACCTCTGCAGAATATCGAATAAATTCTGAACCAGAGAGCCGCCGGCCGCCCGTAGGCTAACCAGATCAAGTGAACCTACTAGTGGGAGCCGCTCGTGACAAATACTGGTATTATTCGGCATTTTATATTAAAATTGTGCCACTTCGTATACATGTTCCCTAGGCCTATTGGAGTGATTTGAGTCGCAGAGCCGGAAGTTCCTTTCCTTAGGATTGAAAATGGCGCCAATTTTTAAAATTGAGGCGAATTTCAGGCAACATTTTTTTTTTAAAGCGATTTTTATGTTCAAAGTGTCGTTTTCGGGGTTCCCGAGGGGAAAAATAACTAAAATAACGTCCAAAATTAATTTCTGTGTGAGGAGCATTCATTTCTTATATCTATGCCGATTTTATGATATCTTCACCGTCCGACAATAAGGTTCAAAAGATTTTACTCGGGACAAAAGTTAGTGTAGATTGCGATAGTTTATTATGTGTTTATTGTGCCGTGGAAGTACATATTCATTTGAAAAAAGTAAGTACAATGTATTAATGTTTATCACGAATAAAATCGCAGTGGAGTTTTGCGGCGTATTGGGCTTTCCTCTTTATGATTGCTCTTTGATATAACTATCAATTTTCAATTGAGGTTAGGTTGCATTTCTTACGTCCTTGGTGTAGTGCTCCAATTTCAAAGTGTTAAAATTGTTAGACATTATCTCGAGACAATGCTGAAAGGACGAAAAGGCGTAAAAGTGGTGTCTATGGCTTCTTTACCAGCGGCAGTGCATGATTTGGATTGGTCCTTATGCTGCCTATGTTAGTCAAAAGATGTAGAGGGACTCATCTGGCCAGCCAGCAATCCAAACCCTAAACAGAGAAATTCAGGTTATATATCTCTTGGTGAAACTCTGCAGGATCTGAGGGCATTGGAGCATGTTTTACCATCTAAAAGGAAAGTAGACGATCTTGATGGTGGTTCTGGTATCTCGCAAACTCTGACTGAAAACAGTGCAAAGTATCACCAAAACTGTAGATCACAGTACAGAGGGGAAAAATTGTCTCGCCTGAAAAAATCCCTGGCAGAGTCAGCCGCAAATGATACTACTAGGCAAAATTTCACTGGTGAAAATAGTGACACAAATCGTGTCACTCGATCGTCAGTGCCCCTCGTAGCATCCAGCAAATGTTTTCTGTGCTTGAAAGAGGGAAAATGGAAAGCGCCCCTTCATAGTGCATGTACTGATAAAGTTATAGAAAAAGTCAGGAATTGTGCCCAAATATTACAGGATTCTAAACTTTTAACTACCAGGCGATATTTTCGTGCATGCAGGAACTTAAATACCATCTGCGTTGTATTCACAGTTGTATGCAAGATTTATATAATAAATGTAAAGTGACAGACAGTGAACCAGTAACTGGTGTTGCGATGTGTGAAGGCATGGCGTTCGCAGACCTAATAAACTGTATGCAAATGAAACTAAATAGTGAGTCGACTGAGTTTGTTTTTAAAGTTCCAGACCTAGCAATTATGTACATAAACAGACTAGCTGGACTTCTGGGTGTTCCACGTGAGGAAATAGCCCAGCCCCAGACAACCCGTTTCCGGGAAAAAAAAATATTGTCATATTTACCCGAACTTCATGAAATTAGGTCCAGTTGAATTTGAGGGCCGGTTTGATGAAAGATGTCAGGAGAATAGTGTGCCTCCAACCTTGCTTGCAGTCGTGAAATCTCTTCTGTATGGTAATTGTGAACAATCAGAATGCCAGCCATCAGGCCCAGCTCTCACAATAAGCCAGCTCATTCTATTTAATTTTCAGAAAAAGGATAGAGCTATTACTTCTGATAGAATTCGACACAAAAAAGATTATGAGCCTCCTCTTCCTGTGTACATTGGATTGGAATCGTTCTGTATGGGGAATTCCGGACGCGAAAATTAATTGACAGGCTGGGTATTTCTGTGTCAAATGACCGCATTATGGAATTTTGTCATTTAGCTGCCGAAAGAGCCAAAGAAGAAGGAGTTGTCTGTCCAGAAATATTGAGAAAAAATATTTTTACTGTGGCTGCAATAGATAATATAGATCACAACCCTAGCAGCACAACATCAGAGAGTTCTTTTCATGGCACCGCTCTGTCAGTTTTCCAGTTGCCTAACCTACAGTCTCATGGTGAAAAACGACTTCTGCAAACAATGTTTAGTACTGTCCAGAAGAGTGGTAGACGCAGTTTACCTTCTCTTCCTGATTGCTTCACCGTCGTTCCCTTGTCCAGAAACAACCTCACCAACCCAGGTAAAATTGTTCAATAAAATAATACAATTTAATGATAATATATTCCAAATTGTTTTAAAAATTGATTGTTTTGTCTCCTGTATTCATTTCCAGACAATTCAAATGTTTTGTGGAGGGAAGGAGAAAATTGGTTGTCGTACGTTTCTGGCGAGTTTCACTCGGAAAGCCCACAGTCTGCCGTGTACAAAGATGTATCATGGTCAGCGTTTCATGCAGCTGGAACCCTAGAGCGGTCACCACAGCAAAGTATACGTGCTGTCCTTCCATTGTTTGATGAGTTGTCGTCTTCTGTGTCGATGCTAAGGCATGGAATGAACCTCGTACATCAGCTGACAGTGCACTTAAATGAACAGCAAGTTCCAGTTCTCGTTGCGGATCAACCGCTCTATGCAACTTGTAAACTTATTCAATGGAACTGGCCAGATCTTCACAGTGAGGAAAAATTCGTACTACTTTTTGCACCGTTTCACATTGAACAAAACTTTCTGCGTGTCGTTATTGAATGATAGTGGATGGATTAGTATCATTGCAAGTTCAGGTGTAACAGCGAAAGGAAGAGCAGAAGCCATTTTAAAGGTAATAATTAATGAACGTGGTGTAATTATATATGTTTTTTTATCTTTCAGGTGTCTGATGTGAAAAGGTCGCGATTATTTCATGAAGTGACCGCGGCAGTTTTGTATAGCTTAATGATTGAGAGTCATGATAAATATATCTCTGACGGTGGCGACGGGTCACTTGACGAATGGTTAAAATCAATGAGCTCTCAAAGTCCGACCTTTAAATATTGGTTGACAGTTTTAAACCTTGAGATTCTGTTGATTACCTTTGTGGGATCACTGAGGGGAAAAAACTATGATGATTTTTTGAGAAGAAATGGTTGTCTGGTTTTTTGCTTTCGACCATGTGAACTATTCGCGGTGGCTGTCCGTCCATATCAAAGATTTGACAGAGCTGGATGTTAAATCTCCCTATATTCAACCATTTTGTTCAGGTATGACAATGACAACATCCTAACAGTTACTTAATAATAACGTTTATTATATTGATTATGTTAAAATAACTTCTTTTTCTAGGAAACTTTGTTGTTCAGAAGTCTGGAAAGCCATTCTCAGCTAAAGCTATTGACCAGACTCATGAACAACATAATGCTGAAATCAAGGCAACCGGTGGTGCGAACGGCCTTTACCAAGATTTGAACACAGCGCAGAGTAATGCCCTCAGCTCCAGAGATTAGTCGTCTTGTAACTGCATTTACTACCTCTTCCGAAAAACATCATGAGCAGTATTCCTCTTTTCAAATAAAATTTATGAAGCGCTGTCTTGCTGTGAAAGATGCTTTTCTGAGCGTAGGGAATCCTGTGATCTATTTTGTATAGATACCAAAATAGTCATACAAGAGAACTCTGTAAAGGCTCTAAATAGTGTGGAAAGTGCTAGTAGATATGCCTATGAAACATTTGTTCAGGAGAGGCTCATTCTAAAATCCAAAGCATTGTATGAACCTGTTAAAAAAATTGGAACAAAAATCTTTGATATTAAAACTAGAAAACCAGTAACAAGCACTCAAGTAAGAATCCTCAAAGATGAAATTCTTTTCATTGTAGCGAAGGAGAGAGAGTTGATGAATTTTTCCACTATGAAAATCAGGAATGCCCCCCCTCGTTGTATCTGAATGAAAAACTAAGGCCAGCGAAAAAAGCTGAACTAGCCGAAAAATTGGAAACATTAGTATCATCGGCACCAAGAACCCGAGAGTCTTTTGATAGCATTATAATTGACGGACCAACGTTGGTGCAAAATTTCAGGCCACGCATTGGCAAAACTTTTGAGGAATATTTTAGCTTGGACTTGAAAGCAAACATTTCTCGGAGAGTCTCTTCTACAAGGGCAGTACGCGTTGACTTGGTTTGGGATCTCTACTGGCCCGACAGTTTGAAGAATTCGACTCGTGAAAATCGAGGGTGTGGGCTCCGACGCCAGGTCATGCCCAAAAGTGAAGTTCCTCGCGACTGGGCAGATTTCCTTCGCAACTCTGAAAACAAAAGTGCACTTTTTGAGTACCTCGCTTTATTTGTGATTTTCCAGCAGCAACTGTAGTCACAAACCGGGGTGAAAAAATTATTTTATCTAATGATTCTTTTACCTCATTGGCTGGAATACGAGCTACGCAAGAAGAGGCGGACGGGTAGATCATCCTCCACGCGGAAGACATGGTAGAGCATGGAGCCCAGAACATCCTCGTCCAGTCTTCAGATACTGACGTTTTGGTCCTATGCATTTCGTTCTTCTTTTCTCTGGAAGAACTCGGACTGCGAGAACTTTGGATAATGTCAGGTGTTGGTGCCAAGCGCCGATACATAGCTACTCATTTGATTGCGTCTACACTTGGAGAAGAAACCTCACAAGCCTTACGTGGCTTTCATTGTTACACAGGTTGTGACACAACGTCCTTCTTCAATTCAATTGGTAAGAAGAAAGCATTTATGACCTGTATAAAACGCCCGGACGTGACACCAGCTTTACTTGAACTTTCCAATCCGCACAAAGAGAAATAACAGAAAAAACAATGAAAACTTTGGAAAAATTTACTGCCATTCTTTATGACCCCAAAACACAGGATAAATCCACTACGAACGTGCGGAAATATTTATTCTGTACAAAAAATGAATTAGTGCAATTCCTCCCTCCAACGCCTTCTGCATGCACTGCGGGCTGCATACCAAGCAAGTCATGTGTGGGGCCGCTGCTTGTCACCTACTGAATACCCTCGAAATCCCTCAACTTGGGGATGGACACGAGGCAATGTGAGCTGGGCACTAAACTGGACCAAAGAGACCATGAAGTGCTCATGCTTGCGAAACAGCCTTCCCTGCACCCTACATTGTTCTAACTGCAAAGAACACTGCAAAAATGCGAGGCGAGTATATATATGCTTATTATGGACATTACTGTCAGCATTTTATTTGTTGTAATTTTGACTAGGTATTTTTTTATAGCTCGACTACAACAGGAGATCTTAGCGATGATGAAGCATTTCCTGGTGATGACTTGTGATGACTTTTGACTTGTAAATACGTTTCAATAATAATCCACAATTTTTAGTTGTAGGTAAACATAATTCAATAGATAACTTTCAGTTTTGTAGGTACTTATTTTATCTCCGCTTCTTTATTCAAAATATGTACATAATAATTCATAAAAAAAGGTCTTTCTTGAGTCTTTTTTTCATGATCCTCACCCAAAAGAAACCCGGAAACGCCATTTCAACTACGGAAATCGGTGAAAACTTTCGCATCTTGTTAGACGTTAAAGATATCATAAAATTGGCCCAGATATGACAAATTAAGCATGCTCCTCACACAAAAATTAATTTTGGACATTATTTTTGTCATTTTTACCCTCAGGAACCACCAAATATGTTGCCTGAAATTCGCCTCAATTTTAAAAATTGGCGCCCTTTTCAATCCTAAGAGATGGAACTTCCGGCTCTGCGACCCAAATCTTTCTAATAGGTCTAGGGAACATGTGTACGAAGTAGCACAATTTTAATACGAAGTGCCGTTTATTTCCACGAGCCGCTCCCACTATACAGGTAGATAGACCCAGCGCAAAATTTTCCTCTAGAGCTTATTTGTCTCTGTGATATAAAAGAGCTTGATATTATATGTAATTTATAATGGCCCCATACCTAGATATTTTGTTTTTGCATAGGTTAACATTTATCAAGCTCAAAAAAACTATAAGCCCAACGACTGATTCTGTTGTTACATTCTAATCAACCATTTCCATATATTAGTTTTCCACCTGCTGACAAGTAGATACTTATTTATAGAAACCTGTGGCGGTACCATCATAAGTTACCCAGAAATAAACTCCATTTAAATAAAAGCGTAATGAAATACACAATTTATCAGCACTTTATCAAAAAGCTTTTAAATTTAATTTAACAAAATCGACCTAGGTACATGAAAATAGTGATAGAGGCCTACAAATTTAAATAATTATTAGGTATTATTTTAATTAAGTTTAAGGAACTTTTAAAAACATAATTTATAATTAATGCATCGATCAATCGAAACGTAAATTAACCCGGACTTACAAACACTCAATTCTCGGTTCGTTTTCTTTTAATTTATTTGTTTTCGAAATTGATTTATCGCTGTCGAAGAAAGTTCTTTTCAAACTTATAATCTTCGTTTTTTCATACCGTCTTTATTTGCTATTGCTTTTGGAGTTGGAAATTGTCAGAATGGAATTTCGCATTGCACTTTATAGGTAGGTATTTATATTTCATTTCTGTGATCTGAATTTGAAATTGAAATGTCATCAAATATGTTTCCGATAATTGGAATTTCAGGTGCTACTGACTTTGATGTAATAATAATAAATTGATAGAATAAGGTATTACGAAAAGATAATGTATAAAAGTAAAAGGATGCTTAAGCTTGAAAGTTAATAGTTATGTCAATATGTATATAAAAAATGGATGCAGCATTCAACAAAAAATCATAACTCCATTAATAATAATTCAATTGCTTTGAATTTTTTTTTTACATTGAACCTTTAGGAAAAAATACTCAAAATTGCAAATGTTCCACCCACTTTAGTTTTTGAGTGAAAACATTATTTGTAAAATCTCTTTTACAAAACATCATTATTTTCAAAAAACCATAACTCCATTATCAATAACTCAATTGCTCTGAGTTTTCAGTATATTTTACATTGAGCCTTCAGAAAAAAGTCCTCAAAATTTCAACATTCCACTCACTTTAGTTTTTGAATGAAAAAATTATTTGTAAAATCTCACTTTACAATACATCATTATTTAAAAAAAAAACATAATTTAAAAAAAAAACATAACTCCATTAATTAATTAATTAAACAAATTCAAGATATAACTGAAAAATATGACAACATGGAACAAGTGTGCGCAAAACTAAACAAAAAATTAACTGAAAAGGACAACTACATTCTGCGACTGCAAAGAGGCTCAAAAAGCTACCAAGATATGGCTGTCGAAGCGGAAGAAAAACTTCAACAGAAACTAGAATTTCAGGTTAAAATAATAGAAAATTTAAATAAAGAAATAAAGAAACACAAAGACGAACAGTTGAGTGAGGAGCAAGAAAATAACAGACTAGAATTGGAATTTAAAGACCTAAAACTTAAATTACATGAAACTGAAGAGTTAAACAAGAACATGATTGTATCAATACAAGCTTTGGAAATTGAAATGGAAACCCTAATGAGCGAACTTAAAACTGGTAAAATTGAACAATTTGATTTAAAGAATAATCTTGAGGAACATAGAGACAAATTAAAGGTGCTACAGCAAGAAAATCAACAGCTAAACAAAAAACTAGAAGATGCATCTCTGCGCGAATGCACAATTAAAAACAGTTTCAATGAGTCACCAGAAGATATAAAGCACCATAATGTTATAATCTTGGGTGATAGCACGATTGTAAACCTTCATAAATATCTAAAAATTCAATCCATGCAGAACTACAACGTGATGACTCTTGTCAAACATAATGGTACACTAGAAAACATAGTCCAGGATATTGACAAGTTTACACTGAATTTTACAAAGCAGGACTTTGTGGTGATATCGGGTGGTTTACAAAACGCTTGTCATGGAGGACAAATAGATGCCAAAGCCATTGAAATGTTGTCATTGGTAGGTCAGCGTACAAACTTAATTATGGTATCAGCGCCGCTCTGGGGAAACCGTAGAATATTAAACAAATTTATTGATAAATTTAATGTAACAATCTTTGAAAAATTACGTAACTCCTTTGCAAAATATTTAAATATTAATTCTTTTTTAAACTCTATGTACTTCATCTCTAATAAATACTTAGTATTGAGAAATATAGGTAAGGTTAAGTTAGCTGAACAATTGGATAACCTTATAGTTAATTTGGGTAGGAATAATGAGAGTAACAGTCCATCACATTTTTTACATTAAAAAGCAACGACGTTAGTAAACATGCTAAAGAATCAGAACTCACATTCTTTCTACTTAATATACAGTCGTTACGTAATAAGACGGACGAAATTCTTATTTTACTTGAAAATAACAACTTTCCATCATTTGTTCTTCTAACTGAGCACTGGCTGTTTGAGGACGAAATGTGCTGTATTCCAGACTATGAGGTCATATCAAAATACTCTAGAAAAAACGGATATGGGGGGACACTTATATTAGGGCATAACAATGTTCTTTCTAAC